CTAATAAACAATATGGTTTCAGAAAAAAACTATCCTGTAATCTGTAACTCTTATACTGCAAAAACATATGGACTACACAAGTCGATCAGGGCAAAACAATAGACGCAATTTACATAGACTTGTGTAAAGCCTTTGATTCAGTGGTACATGACAAACTACTCCTAAAACTAAAATCTTATGGTATCTCTGGACAACCGCATAACTGGATAGAAGCATTCCTGTCAAACAGACAACAAATGGTCAAAACTGGGATTGTCCTATCAAATTCTGTACCTGTCAACAGTGGTGTCCCCCAAGGCAGTGTTCTAAAACTTTCTTCATACTCTACATAAATGACCTCTGTGATCATATTAAGAGCAACTGCGTTCTTTTTGCTGATGATGTAAAGCTATTCAACACCACCAACAATAGTGCTACCCTTCAAAAAGACCTCGACTATGTATCAGAATGGTCAAACAAATGGCAACTTCAAATCTCAACAAATAAATGCTCTGTCTTACATATTGGCAAAAAAAATCAGAAAATAAAATACAAGCTGAATAGTCAAGACCTTGTTGATGATCCAAACTTTGTCAAGGACCTTGGAGTATTCATCTCTAATGATCTGTGCTACAGCCTACTGTAACTACATAGCCAAAAAGGCATTAAGAGTTATTAACTTAATCCTGCGTAGCTTTTTCTCCGGTAATATCACACTACTAACTGGAACCTACAAAACATTTGCTAGACCAATACTTGAATACAGCTCATCAGTCTGGAACCCACATTACGTAACTGATATTAATATAGTTGAGAAAGTCCAGAAATATTTCACAAGAAATATTTCCTCTACTCATTGCAGAATACCTTATGCCGCCAGTCTTGAAATTCTAGACCTAGGTAACCTAGAACTACGCTGCCTTTGGTCCGATCTCAGTATAGTACATAAAATCATACATTACAATATCCTACTTGCAAATGTCTTCAGCTTCAACCATAACAATACAAGAGCACACAATAGATACAAACTCAAGGTAAACCACACCAAACTTGATTGCAGGAAATACGAATTCAGCAACAGAGTGGTCAATATCTGGAATACCTGACTCTACCTGACTCTGTGGTTTCTTCCCCAACCCCCAAAACTTTAACCTTAGACTGTCTACTATTGACCTCACCCCTTTCCTAAGAGGTCTGTAGGAAGCGTGCATAAGCACACCAACGGACCTACCGTCCCTGTCCTATTGTGTTTTTTTCCTATATGTATCCATTTCATGTATTCATAACTATGTTTATACTTATACCTGTTATCTTATAATTGCTTGACAAAATAAAATAAATAAAAATAAAAAGTCAATCTCATCTTCAAGGTATATAAAAGTTTTTAAAAGTAATTCATCAGTATAATGAGGACCCAGATTGTTTGGGGCAATATGTTGTCTCTGTAAACTGTTTAGAGAGGATCTGAAAAGCACTGTGAAGCGGTATATAAGTCTAAGTGCTAATCCTATTTACTTGTTCCAAATAACAGCTGTGTGAGGCTTGATTTAAGAAGAAAGAAGAAACTGAATTTATCTGCTATTTTAAAATTCTATCATATAACGTAAACTTTTTATGAGTAAGAAGGTCAAAACTATTGCCTATGTTATCTATATATTTTGAAGCATTTAGTGCTTGTATTGAAACTAATCTCCAAATAAATGAGATCACCAATCTTTGATAATTCAGTGGGATGAAGAAAGCTGAGTCCAGAGATCAAATGAATTCTGAAACTTTTTATTCCAATGAATAACCATCAAAGTCAGGAGATAAGATAATAGAAAATTAAATCTTCACTTTTCAACAAAGAATAGTAATTTATATACTGTACAGCAGTACAAATCATAATGGATGATCTGGGCAGGGATTTTTATGAAACAGTGTAGGCATTTGCTTGAAATAATCATAAAGAATTTAAATAAAAAGTTCTCTTATACATTGAATTCACAGTGACCCATTTCTATTGTTAGAAAATCTGTTTTATTATAAAGAAATGATAGTGGAGGATTATTATATAGCCATATAGATTGGTAGCAGAGAATGATTACATAGATGACATATGGTTACATGGTTACATACAGATCAAATAAAATGTATGTGTAAAGTTATCATGGGCTTTGCTGCTTAATGGGTTTAACTGTCATAGAAAATTCTCCTCAGAAAAAACAGAGCCATAGGTTATAACCATAGATGCAAACTAAACACTGCCGTCTAGATAATAATAATGAAACAACTTCAAAACAGAATATTTGGGATACTATGAAAGCAATTATAAGAGGTACAACAATTTCCTATAATTCTATGAGAAACATGAGAACTTATGCCCGACAAAACGTATTACAACAACAAATCAAAGACTTAGAAATACAATTACAAAAAACCTCTAAGATCCAAGGTATACAAAACCAGTTAATATTAGCCAAACATAAGCTGAATTTAATTGAACAAGATAAAATAGAAGTTAGTTTGAGAAGGTCCAAACAAAATTATTTTGAACACGCTAATAAACCAGGAAGATGGCTATCTTATAAACTTAAAAAAGAAAAAGAAAAGAGATGGATACACGAACTAATAGACGAGAAAGGCATACCACAACATGAGATTGAGAAAAAAAAAGATATTATATTAAACTATTTTCAAAGATTATATAAAAAAGAAGAAATCAATGAAGACAAAATAAGAACTTATCTGGAGAATACGAATGATAAAACAATAGGGGAAGGAGAGAAAGAATTATTAAATAAGGATATTACATGGTCTGAGTTGAAATCTGCAATGGAGAACCAAAGTAATAATAAATCCCCTGGTCCTGATGGGATTCCAGTAGAATTGTACAAAGCTACAATAGAGTTAGTAGGGCCACTGATGCTGGAAGTGTTCAATGAAGTACTTTTGGCAGCCAAAATGCCAGACTCATGGAGGGGGGCGTTGATTTTGTTAATTCCGAAGGAGGATGTAGATGCCAGATATATCAACAATTATAGACCAATTTCACTTTTAAACGCTGATTATAAATTATTTACCTCAATTATAGTGAATAGAGTAAAACAAGTTTTAAATTTATACATTCATGAAGATCAAAATGGTTTCCTTCCATCCCGCCAAATCAAAAATAATCTAAGAACTGTTATTGACGTCTTAGAATATTATGAAGTTCATCCAGAGAAACAATTTGCACTCATGTTTTTAGATGCTGAGAAAGCATTTGATAATCTACATTGGCACTTTTTAATACAAAAAATCTATAACATGAGTCTGGGCACTAAATTTGAGAACATTATCACAACAATTTACAACACCCAACAGGCCAACATACTAATTAATGGTGAACAAACAGGCCCATTAAACATTGAAAAGGGCGTCCGACAGGGTTGCCCCCTCTCACCCCTCCTATTTATACTTGCTTTAGAATCACTGTTAACGCGGATAAGACAACACTCTGAAATCCAAGGAGTAAGGGTGAAAGCAGAGGAATATAAACTACAGGCATTCGCAGACGATATGGTTTTCTTCCTAGAGGAACCCATGGAAAAAGGACATAACCTAATAAAAGAAAATTCTCCTCAGAACAAACAGAGCCATGGGTTATAACCATAGATGCAAACTAAACACTGCCGTCTACTGGCCGAATGATTCTGTAGTTGTTGCAATAAAAAATACGTTCTAGCACAGGGGTTGCCAACCTTTTGGACCTCAGGGACCACCGAACTCATAATTTTAAATCCTGTGGACCCTGGGAAAATCCAAAAAAAACTCTGCAGGAAAATTTCTCACCCCATTTTCCTACCAATCGATCATTCTTTATTTGGGATCGCAGGATACCGCCTCCAGCTCCATTCTGGGGGGTGGGGGTGGAGAGACTTTTGGCTTCATGCAAGGAAAGCAGCAAAAATCTTTCTCTCTCTCTCCCAAACTCCACCAGAAATGAGTCTTTGTGAAACTTGTCACTCTGGCGTAGCTTCTTGGAGCAGGATGTCTTGCAGGATCCCAAAGACTCATTTCTGGCAGAGTTTGGGGGAGAGAAAGAAAGACTTTTGCTGCTTTCCTTGCGTGCAGCCAAAAGCAGAAGAAAGAAGCAGCCTGGTGCCAGACAAGGTGGGACCACCCTTTTCCCCCTCCTCTCACTACCTCGTGTTGTTTGCAATGCAAGCGTTGTATGCCCACGGGCTATGTAGGGGGCACAGCCTTGTGTTCCCACACAGCATGGATTAATTGCTTTGGTGGATGCTTTGGGGATGACATTTCTCTGTGGACCACCAAAATTTTCTCACAGACCAACATTGGTCCCCAGCCCGTTGGTTGGCGACCACTGCTCTAGCATGTATTCCAACAGCTATCATAAATTGTGATGGTTGTAAATTGAGTTATCCATATGACCCAGTGATTTCATGATCTTTTTTTTGTAATGGTTGTACAGCTACCATCGCAGTCATAAAGTGAACGTCACAATTGCAAAGCAAACACCACAGTCATAAAGTAAATGCCACTTTTGTAAAGTGACCTCCATTGTTTACTATGGGTCAGTTTTGCCAAAAACTGGAAGTAAATGCTGATTTTTTTGCAAAAATGTTGTAAAACATAGTCATGGGACCAAGGGATGCTGCAAACTGCTTTAAATGCAGAATGGTTGCTGTGCCCCTGACATGCGGTTCACATGATTGTGGGAACAGAGAAGGGAGAATGGCACCCATCATAATTTTGTAACTGAGTTGTAAATAGCCCTGGAGAGATCTGTCTTCACTTCAACTGGTTGCTAAGTGTCTGGTCATAAGCTGAGGGCTACCTGTACATCTTTTTAGTAGTATCTCATTAAACATGAGTTTAATCCAGTTTCCCCAGTTTAATTATCCGATCAATTTGTATGCCTTTGTATCTCACAGAACAACTCTGGGTGGCTCACAATACCCTTCAAAAAGGAGCCACCATGAAAAAGCAGCTCCTTAGATACCTTTAAGTGGCAATATGCCAGGAAAGGATCTACCCGACCTTATGGGTGGACAGATACTTATGGGTTTTAGGATTGTACAGATGATTTGGGCATCAATGGGGAAAGATCAGCTGGGATTGCAATCCACTCAGGTAAGAAGGTTGCAGAGGGCTTGAAGACCTTAAGAAATGGAGAGTCCAGGAGGGTATAATTGGCTAAATAAACAACCTTCCCACCTGCTAGGTAAGCAGCCCAGATACCAAAAGTCCCAATGGTCATGATTGTGTGGTTGCAATGAGCAAGGAGAGCAAAATCCCTTCCTGGGGAGGCTTCCTTCCCATCCCCAGCAAAGTAAACGTCCCCCCTGGAGGCATCAATGTTCTTCTTGCACCACTCCATCCCATTGCTGGTGACCACAAAGATGGGATTGAGGTATTTATTTCTGAAGTAGTCCATGGCTTTCTCCAAGTAACCTTTGTCAGCCACCACACCTTTCCAGGTTTTGGGCATTACCTTCACATAATCCCCTCTCCGGACATGCACTCCGACATATGTCACATTCTGATGTTTCCCCCGCAAGATTTGCAGGTAGTGATTGGCCTCTTTCTTGATGTGGTCATGGAAAGTGAACTCCTTTAGTATTTCCTGGCGGATGTGGTGATAAAAGGTGTAAGAACAAGGGTAGCCCATCAATTGGACATATTTCCCCTGGATGTGACGATAGTCCTCTGACATCCAATCATGCAAATAAACTCTCCTCCATTGGATCCTTCTAAACACCTTAGCAGAGAGCACAGGCAAAGTGATCTTGAAGACTGGTGATAGAGCTGAATGCATTTTTGGATGGATGTAGGCTTGATATCCATTGAGCTTGGCTAAGGCATAAAGGGTGGCGTATTGTCCCATCTGGTTCCCAAAACGCCCAATAGAGTTCACAGTCCATATTCCAGCATCAATAGCCTCAGAGGACAAGTTAGAATTAGGGGCAATGCGCTGGAATACAAGTTGTCCTATCCAGGAAGAATTGAATGTGGATGTGATGGATGTGATGGATAGATAAGTGGTCTTCCCAGGTAGACAAAAAATTATGAACAAAGAAAGGATCCCCAAAATGTAGAAGAGCTGGAGATATCTCTTTTTTGATGCTTTATTGTTACAAAAGAGAGAATCCTAAAGAAAAACGTAAATTGAATTCAATACTCAGATGTGATAGCACACTGACACTCTTGATAGTTCAAATCCTTCAACTTCCCTTCCTTCAATAGTTACAAAGTTCTTGCTAAATTTAACAGTAGAACATGGTCAAATTTCACCAGCATTTTTTGAGACTTGGTTTGAGTAAACTGATTTTATTTTTAATGTGAAAAAGGATTGGTTTGCTTTTGTCTTCCCTTTTCATTCTTACTTTTTGAAAGAGCAAAAATGCAATTTTTGCCAAACATTCACCAATTGCTACTGAATTTGGAGCATGTATTCTTGCAATGCGAGGGGTTTGAATAATGTATCAGCCATGCCATAAACCATAGCTGAGACTGGAAGTTTTTAAGAAGAAATTGGACAAGAGTTTGTCTGGAATGTTATAAGGTTTCCTGCCTGTGCAGGGGGTTTGGCTGAAAGATCTCTGAGGTCCCTTCCAGTTCTGTCATTCTGTTATTCCGATAAATTATTATGGCTAATTTTTCACAACCCAATACCTGATGGTTTAGCACAAGCTGTGAACTCAACATAACTTATATCCACTTAGAGAACTGAAAGCTCATGCTGCTGACCATAAATAGGTCTACAACTGGTTTATATTTGGCTGGGAATAGCTTTGACCCTTATAAGTAAGTAGTAAGTAACATTATGTGCAGGGGTGGGATTCAAATATCTTAACAACTGATTCTGTGGGTGTGGCCCAATTTGTGGGTGTGGCTTGGTGATCATGTGATTAGGTGAGCATGGCTTGTATGTAAATATTATAAATATTGATTAAATATTGATTTTTTTATAAAAAAGAGCAATTTTTACCCAAAAGCAAGCAAAGCAGGCAGGCAGATTGAGTTGCTTACAGAATCACAGATTCACTTAGAAATCTATCTATCTGCAATTGGCTATCTTAGTCTGTCACATAAAATTTGCTTGCAAGCAAACTCACAAAATTAACTCACAACACACCATGTATGTAAATATTGAT